TTGCAGCTTGAAAATAAGGGCGGCAAAAATCAATATGTCGGTGAAATTGACCTGGGCGAAGAATTCAATGACATTCACATCATTAAGCATCAACGGCGAGATGCCAGACTTGCGACGAAGCGGAGAGAGCACCAACCACTGTCAACGAAACGAGTCACCTTTTGATTATATAGGGTGATATCCCCCGGTGAGGTGAGCAAGAGTGTTACCCTTTGACCCGAACCCTTTCTACCAATGAGCGTTCGATGGGCGGAGCTTGTCAGGGAGTAGTTGTGTTTTTCACGCCGCGACGCTCGATAGCGCCAGAAATTATCATTTTTTTGCGAATTTACAGACAAATTATTACAAACGTATGACAAAATTGGATAAATAAGAGTCTGATAGTCAAGTGGATTGCTTTTTTGGTGAGTGTAGTGTGCGAGTTTATTCACAAACCAGCCGTATTCGTTTGGTGTACAGCGATTCCAAGTGCGGACGTTTCATACCCTGTCTTTATTTCTATACTAGTATATAACCCTACCCAAGCCTATCTCCCTTAACCATAAATCCTGTTGCAAGCGCCCGTGGTCTGGCCAATAACAAACAGTTGTATCTTATCTTTTAAATTACTAGTAACTAGGAAAAAGCGGACTTCAAAGAGGGGGGCAAGGGAGTAGCTGGTACAGTTTTACGGGAAATAAAAAGTTTTTTTTACAATTTACAAGGGAAAAAGACGTTTTTACAGTTTACAGTGAAAATTGAATTTTGCAGTGAATTGTGTCATTTAGTTGTTTTACAGTTTCGAAAATGTAATTTCCCTGGATTATTCTTCACGACTTTTTTATTTGGATGTAAATTCTTATACGTACCGAGAAAAATGACACATTTTTACAGTGTACGAACAAAATAATTGATTGATTACGGTGTACGTCTAGCCTGTGATTACAGGAATTTATTTTTTCAATTTACGTTGTACGAACAAAAATATATTGCAATTACGTTGAACGAAAACAACGTTTGCCCCCCTTTTTAAAGCGGAGAGGACATTACTTGCACGCGACGATAACAACGCACGCTAAAAACGACCAAATTATAACTCGATGTTGAATTAACAGTTAAAAGAACTTTGAGTTGCGGGAAATACATAAACATGTATATGTTTTATTGTTGTTGAACGTCCACATTTAGTAACTCGAACTTTAATAAACAGTTAACCGGACATTGAGTTACGGGCAACACAGATTTGTTGTTTTGTTTAACGTTAAAATGTAATAACTCGAATTTTAATTAACATTTAACCGAACTTCGAGTAACTGGAAACATAAAATGTTAAACAAATCAACAAATTTATGTTGCCTGTAACTCGAAGTTTGGTTAACTGTGAATTGAACATCGAGTTATAATTTGGGCGTGGTTTTGCAACAGTGGGCGTGGTTTCTAAAACATAGGCGTGGTCATGTTCGTAACTCGATGTTTTCGTAACTCGATGTCCGTAACTCGGACAATTCAGCATCTCGCGACGACTCCCCGCGTTACTCATGAATCCTCACGTTAGTCTATTTCGGTGCGTTGTGTATGCAACAATACAGTGGCGGCGGCACGGGGGGGGGATCTCCCCCTTCAAAATAAAACTGAAACCCTTTGTGTCAGCAAAATTTGACCATCAAAATGCAGGAAATAGCGTTCCAGAGGGTCTATATTTCAAACATTTTAAAGGGTAGTATGCTCTGGACCCCATAGTAAAGCCGATTACAAGTGTGTTTGCCCAGAATTTATTGTGTATTTCCCGGATTTATTTTGTGACCAAACTATATTCTATAGTCTACATAAAGTGTTATACACCAGCACTGGCATTGTTAATCTTTACCAAACCAACACGCATTTGTCAGGCTGGTATGTGTCACACGCAACGTAATATTACCGTAATTGGTATAGTACAGGTGTGATGGTTCAAATACCAAAATGGCAACAGTAACAGAAAGACTTCCCTGGCGGCGATGATAAAATACGAACACGGAGCCAACAGATGAGGTTTCAACTGGTACTGGTATTATTATACTCTGCAAACATCAAGTACAATAACGCGGTAAAACTCCACTACTCCAATAACTAGATACTTAAACTCCAATACAATTCAATGAGATCCCCGATCTGATCTCAGTGCTGAACAACTCCCCTATATATACCCACACTGTCTATAAATAGACCATTACATCAGCATACATAATGAGTCTGGAACTTACTACCAATTTCTAGAATGTTCCATTACCTTCTATTGCCTCCTACAGTGTTCTATTACCTATTCAACCAGTTTCTAAACAAAATCTAGAATATTCCACCCAGACACAGTACGGTTCTAGAACATTCTCAGTGACACGGAAGTGGCAAATAAGTCGTATGCGACAGTATGATATATCTTTACCGATAATTATTTGTGTCTGATATACATTTATTTAGTCCAGTGTACTTGACCTGAAATGTGTGTTGTTGTACTCATTAATATTGCGAATACTGTCCTTTTCAATTATATTCAATTATTTTCTTTATATTATTGTAACCTTAGAGTTTTTCCCCGCTTATTTTATATTATCTGTGTTTAACATGTGTGCGATGATCCATGCGATTAATGAAACTCTGCTTTTAACATCACTAAAAATGTATATTTCCATGTACCTAGTTTATTTAGGCACTCACATAATTGATACCTATTACGCAATATCTCAGACTTGCTTGCAGTCTGCTACCATTTTCATGACTGCACGCAGTCACTTATCGATCTCAAACGTTCGTGCTCGGAGACCGCAGTTGTATGTACGGCGAATTCGTCATCAGTTCACTCGGCGGAAGTCATCATCGGTGATAATGTCACTCGTAGTATACAGCTCCGCGATGTGTCCTTGGTTGCAGAAGAAACGGAACAGTCGACTTGGGATGCGAGCTACGACGAAGCGAAGTACATCGAGGCGAAATTCGGGAGTTTTTTGCTACAGCCC